CATTCTTAATGTTAAATTAACTCTGAAATTGTTATTTTTTTTGCTCGTTTTTCCATGTGAATGTTTTAGCCGTGTTGTAGAAAGATTATTTTCTAGTTTATAAAGTCAACACATTTACTCTGAACTGCTGCATAAAAGAAGAACCCTTAAATATCTGGAGGAGTCTCAATTTCCTTTTTAAAAATGCTACATTGTGCTCTGGTGCTTGGAGTTGGTTAATGATACTGATTAGTGAAAAATGTGAGTGTATGTGTGTATGTATGTATTCTAGTGTTCCTTTCACTTATTTGGAAGTAAAGGAGAAATTATGAAAAATAAATTTGAATGAAACACAATATACAAATAAAATATTATATGATTGTCACAGCAGAATTTCCACATAACTTTATACTGTTTCGGTGGATGCATTTTTATGGGTCTGGCAATTTTGCTGAAATAGTCAATTACTTCTTTAGGTAAGATAGATCTGAACTCTCTCAGAGAATAATTTGGAGTAATGAACTATGTGCTAATTTTAACTTTTCCACAGAAAAAAAGATTGCTAAAGTTTCCAAAGGACCCTAAAGATTCAACTTAGAAACTCTCCCTTTCACTAATAAGGAAATTAGCCCAGTTCATTAGTGGAGGCTGTAAGGGCTTGGGATGGGAGGAGTGGAATATAGGTAACCATATCCTTTTTCTGCATATGTAACACTGCTGGTTCATATGACAGGCATGTACCAAGGTCTGTTTTATACCATATTAGTGCTTGGAGTTACCTTAATGAATAAGACAAAATGTATATGTATTGTCATTTTTCTTGTTCAGTCCCTCAGTCCTGTCTGACTCTTTGTGACCCTATGGACTGCAGCATGCTAAACTTCTCTGACCTTCACCATCTCCCAGAGTTTGCTCAAACTCATGTCCATTGAGTCAGTGATGCTATCTAACCATCTCATCATCTGTCATCCCCTTCTCTTCCTGCCTTCAATCTTTCCCAGCTCAGGGTCTGTTCCAGTGAGTTGGGTCTTCGCATTAGGTGGCCAAAGTATTAGACTTCAGCTGCAGCATCAGTTCTTCCAATGAATATTCAGGGTTTATTTCCTTTAGGATTGACTGGTTTGATCTCCTTGCTGTCCAAGGGACTCTCAAGAGTCTTCTCCAACACCAGAGTTCAAAGCACCAATTCTTCTATGCTCAGCCTTCTTTCTGGTCCAGCTCTCACAACCATACATGTCTACTGGAAAAACCATAGCTTTGACTACAAGGGAACTTTGTTGGCAGTGATGTCTCTGCTTTTGAATATGCTGTCTAAGTTTATCATAGCTTTTCTTCCAAGAAGCAAGTGTCTTTTAATTTCATGGCTGGAGTCACCGTCTGCAGTGATTTTGGAGCCCAAGAAAATAAAGTCTGTCACTGTTTCCATTGTTTCCCCATATATTTGTCATAAAGTATGGGACTGGATGCCATGATCTTCGTTTTTTGAATGTTGAGTTTTAAGCCAGTTTTTTTGCTCTCCTCTTTCACTTTCATCGAGAGGCTCTTTAGTTCCTCTTTGCTTTCTACCATAAGGGTGGTTTCATCTATATATCTGAGGTTATTGATATTTCTCCCTGCAATCTTGATTCCAGCTTGTGCTTCATCCAACCCAGCATTTTGCATAATGTACTCTGCATATAAGTTAAATAAGCAGGGTAACAATATACAGCCCTGATGTATTCTTTTCCCAATTTGGAACCAGTTTGTTGTTCCATGTCCGGTTCTAACTGTGGCTTCTTGACCTGCATACAGGTTTCTCAGGAGGCAGGTAAGATGGTCCAGTATTCCCAACTCTTTAAGAATTTTCCACAGTTTATTGTGATCCACACAAAGGATTTAGTATAGTCAATGAAGCAGAAGTAGATGTTTTTTCTGAAATTCTCTTGCTTTTTCTATGATCCAATGGATGTTGACAATTTGATCTCTGGTTCCTCTGTCTTTTCTAAATCCAGCTTGTATATCTGGAAGTTCTCAGTTCATGTACTGTTGAAGCCTAGCCTAGCATGAAAGATTTGGAGCATTTCTTTGCTAGCATGTGAAATGAGTGCAATTGTGTGGTAGTTTGAACATTCTTTGGCATTAACCTTCTTTGGGATTGGAATGAAAACTGACCTTTCCCAGTCCTGTGGCCTGGTGAGCTTTCCAAATATGCTGGCATATTGAGTGCAGCACTTTCACAGCATCATCTTTTAGAATTTGAAATAGCTTAGCTGGAACCCCATAACATCCACTAGCTCTGTTTGTAGTGTTGCTTCCTAAGGCCCACTTGACTTTGCACTCCAAGATGTCTGGCTCTAGGTGAATGATCACACCATCATGGTTATCTAGGTCATTAAGATCTTTTTTGTATAGACTGGTGTATTATTGCCACCTGTTAATATCTTCTGCTTCCATTAGGTCCATATCATTTTTTTACTTATAGTTATATGTATATAAAATGTATTTTTTCAAGATAAACATATTCTAGCCTTCCTCCAGGCTAAACACCATTTAAGGTACACCTCTATGCTATAACATACTAGTTACTACTGTGTGGGGCTGGTTAGATGATGAAAGCAATGCAATGATAAATGAGATAGAAAATTAAAATGCTTTGGCAAAGAGAAATTCCCATTATTATCAGTAGAAAAGAAAAACACAGGAGACTTACATCAGCAACGTTATTAATGATCTAGAGGAAGACAGCAAATAATCTATTACAACTGATTCTAAGTTAAGAAGCGCTACAAATACCACCAAGGACAGAGACATGGTACCACCAAGGAATGGAAGAGGGAAAGTAAAATTGAGTCAGGAGAGAAGCAGGGAGTATTCATGAAGTTAGCTTTGCCCTCCCCTTTAGAAGAGTCTTAAATTATCAAGCATAATTGATCTCAATAATATCTGAATGGCAGAGAAACATATATTGGAGCTACTAAATGGTACTTTAATCCACATTTGTTCTGTGCCCAGTCGCTTCATTCATTTCTGACTCTTTGCAACCCTATGGACTGTAGTCCATCAGGCTTCTCTGTCCATGGGATTTTCCCAGGCAAGAATACTGGAGTGGGTTGTCATGCTCTCCTCAAAGGAATCTTCTTGATCCAGGGATTGAACCCACATCTCCTGTGGCTCCTGCATTGCAGATGCATTCTTTACCACTGAGCTACCAGGGAAGCCCTTAATCTACCTATGTTTCTGAAAATAAATAAGTGAAGAGGAAAAGAAAGACCTGTATATCATGCACTCAAGTAATTAAATGAAATTCTCATTTTTAGTAAAATTTGAAATTTACCCACAAATAATAGGATGAGAATGATTTCTGTACCATAAGTGAGTTGTTTTTAAATGATTCCGCATTTCTCCTTCTTTTAGAAGGGATGAATTGGACTCTGTATCTTTATGTATTTACACCTGTGGATAGTGTATCAGCTTCCTGTCCATGCATGGCTCTTTGGACCTGACAGAAAATCTGGATTGGACTTGGTTTGGAAAATACAGGGGAACACGGCATTTTACTGTTCTGCTGTCATGATCCTGGCTTCTTCTGTCCATCCCTCATGCCCCAGAGTACTGAGCAGCTGGCTCTGCAGCTGTGAACAGGATCTGAGACTACCTCCTTGTGAGGCAGATATAAATCTTGCCAAAGATATAGAAGGTTTTTGGCTTGACTTTTCCATTTCCAGATTCTTGCTGCAATTGAAGGCGCATGATTTTCTCCATTAAACCCTTTTAGGTTTCTAAAATAATTAGTTATTCAAATTGATATTTTTTTCCTTCATTCCTTGAAATAATTAGTTTTTCAACTATTGGAAAAGATTTAATTCATTCTGTTGTGCTAGAAATGCTGGTAGCAAGCTGTCTTCCCAGCCTGTAACCTGTTGCCCTCAGAAGGTGGAACCAGACTTAGGCAAGATGATACAAGCTTTGATTTTGTTTACAATACCTATCTACTTACCCTTGGACCCGCTCACACACTTCTCATTCCTAGGGGTGGGCATTCCAAACTTGGGAAGATCAGAAGTAAACTCTGAAATTCAGTCTAATTCCTGTTGATTCAATTCTGGGGCATAATTTGAATCCACCTTCACGTAAGCCTGTTAGAAATACTAAAGAATTAGTATAGCCAACAAAGGTCCATCTAGTCAAAGCAATGATTGTTCCAGTAGTCATGTATGGATGTGAGAGTTGGACTATAAAGAAAGCTGAGTGCCAAAGAATTGATGTTTTTGAACTGTGGTGTGGAGAAGACTCTTGAGAGTCCCTTGGACAGCAAGTTGATCCAACCAGTCCATCCTAAAGGAACTCAGTCCTGAATATTCATTGGAAGGACTGGTGCTGAAACTGAAACTCCAATACTTTGGCCACCTGATGCGAAGAACTGACTCATTGGGAAAGACCCTGATGCTGGGAAAGATTGAAGACAAGAGGAGAAGGGGTTGACAGAGGATGAGATGGTTGGATGGCATCACCAACTTGATGGACATGAGTTTGAGTAAGCTCCAGGAGTTGGTGATGGACAGGGAAGCCTGGCGTGCTGTAGTCCATGGGGTCTCAAAGAGTCAGACATGACTGAGCGACTGAACTGAGCTGAACTGAATGAAAGAATACATGCAGTTCAAAACTGAGTAAATGTGCCATATTATCATTTGTCTAATTCTCAAAGTAACTTAAACAAATGGAGTTCTGTGTGAATGACCTTTTCCTAGACAAGAAGAATATAATCCAATGGGAAGTTGATATCCATTTAACTGCCTGTATTACTCTCCCTGATTGTTTATTGTCACATTGAGTGTGATATACTGACATCCATCCAGTGGATGGGGATTAGATCTTAAAGGAGAAATGATGACAATATTCGGGACTCTAAGAAATGGCATGGCCATGATTCATTCTGCACACAGTCATTTCTCTTGATTGGCCTTTTTGAGTCAAGTTGTGTTAAGAATAAATGCAGATGCAGGTATGGCTAAGGCTCTAATGTCATTGTTCTACTTTGCCAGGTGCGTTGTAGAAGATAAGAACTCGAAAGTGGCCTGGTTGAACCGTTCTGGCATCATTTTTGCTGGGCATGACAAGTGGTCTCTGGACCCCCGGGTTGAGCTGGAGAAACGGCATTCTCTGGAGTACAGCCTGCGGATCCAGAAGGTGGATGTCTACGATGAGGGATCTTACACCTGCTCGGTGCAGACGCAGCATGAGCCGAAGACCTCCCAAGTTTACTTGATCGTACAAGGTAAGGAGAAGGTGGAAAAGGAGAGGCAAGTGGCAGAAAATAATCACGGCATACAAAATACTCCGGTAATCCTTTCTGGCATAAAGGGTTCACTATGGCAAATTCCAAATTCATTATGGCACTTTAGTATCTATTTTCTTTTTACATAGAAAAACTTTAAATGGGGATAGACTTTAAATAATAGAACTGAGGAGGATAAAGAAGGAGGAGTCTTGCCACTGTGAGCCAATAACTTTGGTGAATGTTTTCTCTTAATCCTGAGTGTGATAACACACAGCAAAGACCACAGCTGTGTCCACAGGGACACAAAAACACACAGAATGCTTGGAACCATGTGAGGTCCACTTTATCACACTGTTAGATACTGGATGCTTTTGCTGAAGGTGTGATTTCTATCTGTCCTCGATTTAAAGAATATCACTAATTATCTGTTTTTCTGATAGTAAATGTTATTTGGAAAAATAAAAATTTCCAGAGGCCTTGGCATCCTCTCAGCTGGCTGGCTATCTCTATTTCATGGCAAGTTATTTGTGAGCAAGTGCCGTGACAAGGATCTGCAAAATCATCAGGGATAATCTGCTTCCAGACTGGGGTTTCCAAGGGCACATCTGAGTCATGGTTTTACAGGATCAAAACCCTAAATGGCATACGCAAGCCCTGAAACTATAGCTCTCTTGGGTCCCCTTCCCCATAATTGCAGAATGAGAACAAAGCTGATCAGCTGTACAGTTTTATTGCAAGCAGAGTCAAACCACCAGCAGTTTCAATCCATCTACCAGGAAGGATCTAAGCACTAACAAATATTAGGGCTGTGTTCGTGTATTCTTGATTTACAATTTTATGTAAATTTAATGCAAATTAGGCATGGCCCTAGGGCTCCTGTCAAGATTCCAGTGCAGTCAGTTGTATGCAAAGTTTGACTGTAGCTTCTATTAATGTGTTATGGAATTGATTATTGCAGCATTTAAATTATTGCTCTCCCAACTCCTCTGATTAATAGATTGAAACCTGAGTAAATACATCAGAGAGTACCTGGTGCAGGGGTGGTTTAGTCATGTGACCTCTATCTTGATCCATTTGCAATGGCTGACAGCTTCATTTTATTGCTTATAAAAGGCATGTCTACTGACTTGCGAAGTGCCTATCACAGCACAGCATAGAATCTTTTCCTTGTAGTTTAGAGGACAACGCTTGAGTTCCTTAATGAGAGACACCAGGGTTTGGATGTCCGGCAGCCCATTTAAGTGTGTAAACATAACTACAGATGTGTAAATATGTAAAAGGTTAACTTAGCAACTTCCTCAAAACACAAGCCTGCACACAAGCACACACACACACAGAAACACACACTTCAAAACAAAAGGAAAATTTCTACCTCATTTAATGGCAAAGAGAGGGGAGATAATTAGTTTACTTAAGGTCCCTTGAAACAGATTTTATCTAATGACCAGCAACACATTATATTGTGAAATTCCTACACAATTTTAATACCTTCACAGTCTTTAATGTTATTGGAAACTCACTAGAGACCACAGCTAGAGAATGTATATTGTCCTACAAGGAACAAAATTGGGCAATCTGAGGATTACATCCCTTGGTTTCTAGATGAGGAAACAGAAGTTAATTAGGTTTAGGTTACTTGCTCAAGGTCACACAGAGAATTCAGGGAGTAGTTTGGATCCAAGCAGACAAGGAATCAAATTGAAGTGCATTCTACTGGAATGGGAGTTTTTTTGCTCCGACTTTTTAAGAACTACCAAATTCCTATTTGAGTTCTTAGTGAAAAGTGCCCAAAGCCCTTCCTCCCTTTTCCTCATTCATCTATGTACATTTTAGCTACTAACACAGTAATCTTGAGAGAATTAGAGTTAGAACTAGGTCAGATCATGCTGCTTATACTTCCCTATTAAGTTATTGAGTTTAACTTTATATTAAGAGATGGAAAAGAACTATACAGTTGAGGTACTGTTTATTCATCATCTTGTTTGCTTCTAATAATGTTATTATGAAGTAGATATTAGTAGCTTTATTATAAATATGAAAAAAAGTTGAAGTTCAGAAATAATAAGGAGCTGCCCAAGGCTGCCTCTTGGCTTAGGACTGGGTTTCAAACCCATATCTGTTTGATTCAAGATATTAGAGTATTTTCTTTTTAACCATACTGCTTTAAAAGAAAAAATGAGCAACAAAGCCTGTTCTTGTAAGGGCGATGATGAAAGGTTGCTTCCTCCTTGAACCTGAGTTATGAAGGGAGATTTTTTGGACAGTTATATGGATGTTAGCATTTGATATCTAGCACCAGATGGCTGATTTGATTCCCCTTAGGACATTCAACTTTGTGATTATGTCAGTGGTTCCACCCTTTTACCGCTGTTTATTCACACTGCTTCCTACTCCTTGCCTCCATTTTACATGTTTTCACCACATCAAAGATTCTGCCTATAGGCATGTCTGCCATCCATCTTTCCTCCAATCCCACAGCACCTTCCTTCAGAATATAAGGGTCTTTTGAATTTTTTAAGTTCTTCCTTACTCACCATACATGCTTTCTGCAAATCCCACATAACTCATTATTAAATAAATACTGTATTCTTTTTCTTTGCCCAGTGGGGAGGTCACCTTTAGCTTAAAGATGCGTGAGATATCACTGAAAAATAGTAGTTAAGAAAGTGGGGCTTCAAATCTCAGTTTTCTTTCTTGCTACTTAAATCAATTTTAAAGTAACCTACTTGGGGCTTCCCTGATAGCTCAGCTGGTAAAGAATCCATCTGCAATGCAGGGGACCTAGATTCAATCCCTGGGTTGGAAAGATCCCCTGAAGAAGGGAAAGACTACCACTCCAGTATTCTGGCCTGGAGAATTCCAAGGAATGTATAGACCATGGGGTTGCAAAGAGTCAGACATGACTGAGTGACTTTCACTTTCACTTGATTTCTCTGAGGCCTCAGTTCAGTTCAGTCACTTAGTCATGTCTGACTCTTTGCAACACCATGGACTGCAGCACGCCAGGCTTCTCTGTCCATCACCAACTCCTAGAACTTGCTCAAACTCATGTCCATTGAGTCGGTGATGCCATCCAACCATCTCATCCTCTGTTGGCCCCTTCTCCTCCTGTGTTCAATCTTTCCCACCATCAGGGTCTTTTCCAGTGAGTTGGCTCTTCACATCAGCTTGCCAAAGTATTGGAGCTTCAGCTTCAGCATCAGTCCTTCCAATGAATATTCAGGACTGATTTCCCTTAGGATTGATTTTTTTGATCTCCTTGCTGTCCAAGGGACTCTCAAGAGTCATCTCCAACACCACAGTTCAAAAGCATGAGTTCTTTGGTGCTCAGTTTTCTTTACAGTCCAACTATAAAATCCATACGTGACTACTGGAAAATCCATAGCTTTGACTGGATGGAGCTTTGTTGGCAAAGTGATGTCTCTCCTTTTGAATATGCTGTCTAGGTTTGTCATAGTTTTTCTTCCAAGGAGCCAGCATCTTTTAATTTCATGGCTGCAGTCACCATCTTTAGTCACTCTAAAGCTTGGTTTAATTTAAAGATTACGTGACCTAGGTAAGCCCCTAGCTTGTTTTCTGGAGATCATGTGTTCTCACCAAATAAGGTGATGATGATGGTGGTGGTGGTGATAGTGATAGTGATACTAAAGATGATGATAACCACTGTGACAACAAGCAGGCTGCTGCTGCTGGAGTAACTCTCATGAGGCTCTCTTTGTCCTGGGTGCTTCCCAGAGTCTGACAATGCCCTCCACTTGTTGCATGATACCCTTGAGTAGGCTCTTTCAGCTGTTATTTGGGTTCCTTCAATGTATTTTCTTCAGTTGTCCTTTTCCTTAGCATCTAGTCTTGAACTTTACTTCTTTGGGATTCTAAAAGGCTTCTTAGACCAGCATCACCTTTAATTTTTTAGCTACTTTTATTAAGGATGTCTGAGGACAACACACAGTGTGTATTGACAACATATGGACAGTTTGGTGAGTTCTATTTTTGATTGGTGGTACACCCCACTTCAGAATTTCTGATTAAGTCGTTCTGAAGATCAGGCCTGGTAATTTGCACTCTCACATGTTCTCATACTCTAGTTGCACTTCTCACACATTTCCAGGTGATACTGATGCTGCTGGTACTGGGGCCATACTTTAGGAGCCACTACTTTAAAAGTAGTATGTACATTAAGAACATCTAGGGAAATAATCCTGCATAATTTCACTCAATTTCAAATAATGTTATATCCTCTAATATTTCTAAAACTATTCTTGGGCATGAGATAGGAATGGTATATTGGAAAATAACTTGACTTTCATGATAACATCTCTAAGGCTTCTTACCTAGCCTAGTCCTATGAAAAGAAAATCTCTCCCTGAACTGTCCATTTCATGTATCAAAACTAAAACAGCAACAACAACAAAAACTGGTTGAGATATGGAAACTTCTCTAGACTTCAAAAATCTCAACTTTATAAATGTTTAAGTGTTTGTCCCCCTCATATTTCTCCTGTATCCCTCCATTTCTCCTGGAAATTAGTATATATATTAGTATATATATATTAGTATATATATATTTCCACAATGTGAGTGACTTTCAGCATCTCCAACATTTTCTCTCCTGTTTTGGTGATTATTTTTCAGAGAGAAAGTAAGTTTTTTTTTAAATCAGTTCATGAGAGTCGTTACACAGAAAATAACCTGTGTTGAAATAAATATGCTTCATGGTTCGCTAAACTCAATCTTTAGCTAAATGACATCTCCACACATCTTCCTCATGAGGAACACAGGTGAAAGTTTTGTATCAGCAAATTCACAAATCAATAATGACCTTTGGGATCACTTGCAATTAGTGAAATTAAATTTTGCATCTGTGGAAATTAGGCTATTCAAATATAAACATTCATTTGAGATATGTAAAAAATGATGGGACCCATTTCTAAAGCCAGATAGTTTGGCTCTTATACCACCTCCTTTACAGATTCTAAACTCAAAGATTGAGAAAACAAT